GTCCTCCGTCCTAGTATCCTTTCTTGTTGGCAGGTTTATTATCTTCAGTATTCTAGTTTTCTTGAATCAGTATGGACTGGGAATGGCTGAAGGAGTTCGCAAGGGGTATGATCAAACCAGTTGCCGCTCTGGCCGTGGTGCTGATGGCCATGCTCTTGTCCTATTTGCAGAGGCTGGGATTGGAGGGAGAAATGATTTATTCAATCTTCAGGTCTTTTCTTCAGCTATCCATCATTGGCTTTGTTCTTCAGTTCATCTTCAATCAGAGCAGCAGCATCTGGATTGTTGTCGCCTATCTTTTCATGGTACATGATCCATCTCATCCCGTCTTCAGTTTCTTGATCCGACTCTCACGGATGAAATAATGACACCAGAAGAAAAAAAAAACAAAACAAAACTTGCATGTTAGCTAATTTTGGATTCACTGCGTGCAGGGGACTTTTACTGCAATCATTAAACCAATGATCTAACGTTGGCTGTCTTCTTCTTCTTCTTCTTTTCTATCAACCCTATATTTCTTGTCTTGTTCTGTTTTCTTTTTCCCCAGTTCCACAAACCAATTCGGAAAAACTTGCATTATTCAGCATCTTTTACGCATGCTAAGTCACAGAGAATTATATTACTAAATTTCTGTCTTAATCTGTCGGTCCTGTTCTTTTTCCAATTTTTTTTTTATTGTTCGGAAGTAGACTAATCTTTTCGGTAGTGCCAGTTGTTAATTAGTTAATACATAATGTTACACGCAATCATGTACCTGTTCAAAGAACCTTTCTGAGAAGATTATATATAGACACAATTGAACAAGCAAGATTCTGAGATCCTGAAAAAGTAAGCTCGATTTGTTTTGAAGCCCACCATAGTAATACGCCGAATGTTGCTTCCATAATAATAGCATCAGCACTGCGTTTCTTTCTTCCCCCCATCAATTTCATAACTTTTTTGTCAACTGCCCTGTTTGGCGTCACTTCCGACTCTAAAGCCAGATTAAATTGAGAATTTTAAAGCTGCTCATTGGATTAATTAATCCAGGAGTTATTCAATCTACGACAGCACAGACCTATAAAAGAATTTCTTAATGCGTATCCAACTTACAAGAATGTTTACGAGACAGATAAAACTCTGGCCTAGTCCGTGGTACTTGCATAAAATCAAACCTGAAGGAAGCAACACCGAGCTTACTAAAATGCTTTATTGAAACTTAAAATACCCCAAGAAATCCCAATTGTATTTTAAAATGATTGTGTTGGAAATGCTTATAGGCCGCCAGAAATTTTGGTTGCCTAACTCAGTCTGGGCTTGTTGCAGATTCTTTAACATGATAATGATGTAATGGCGTTAACCCCTTCTGCCTTTTAACATCCATCAAGGGTGGCCTTGACTTTTCAATTAGGTTTAACAAATTTCTTCCTTGCTCTGTTTCTCAAGTATGATCGGGTAAATTTTTTAAGGTTTCTGACATCGGCCTTGGACTTAGTATTAGTAATATTTTTTACTGCTGCAGGTATCTGTTGCTGGTTACACTGCTGGTCAGCGGGCTAAACATGTACCCCGTGGCAAGTACGTGGCAGGAGCGTCCATCTTAGCAGGAACAGCTGTGACAATGTTCTTACTGATTCTGTTGAATGTTTTCCCTTTCACCCCACGGTATATCATCCCTGTTGCAGGAATGATGGTTGGCAATGCCATGACTGTCACTGGGGTTACGATGAAAAGACTCCGGGATGACATCAAGATACAAATTACCTTGGTAGGTTCCATGATTCCAGCGCCTGCCCCAACTTTGATTGCGAAGTTCCATCAATTTTAATTGGCCACCAGCTATCTCTCAATCTCAACCAGTTGTCGTATCTTTTGTTACACCCCTTTATTTTGTATCTAATTATTTTGTGACCGTGATCTGATTCATAAATAAGGGACTTTGACCTTACTTTTGTGTTTGGAATTTTGAATTTCTGCCCTACTGAATAATTAGAAATCCCATGGTTTTGCTAGGTGGAGACAGCATTGGCACTTGGGGCTACTCCCCGTCAGGCGACAATGCAGCAGGTGAAAAGGTCCCTGGTTATTGCCCTTTCTCCAGTGTTAGACAATGCCAAGACTGTAGGTCTTATATCCCTTCCTGGTGCTATGACTGGTCTTATTATGGGAGGAGCTTCACCCTTGGAGGCTATTCAACTGCAGATTGTGGTCATGAACATGCTTATTGGAGCTTCCACTGTTAGCAGTATCATGTCAACCTACATGAGTTGGCCCTCTTTCTTTACAAAAGCTTATCAACTACAGACCAAGGTTTTCATTTCAGATTGAGGTTTCCCTAGTTGAGTTCCAGAGACTACTCCTGTCCGTTCCCAAATTGTGGGAAAGAGGATCCAGGATTAAGTGTCTTGTGATTGCATGCTAGTGGATGTCTAATCTCACCTAGACAAGAAGGCTTTTCACTCAAATATTAGGAAATCGTATGCTGCTAGCGAACTATCTTTTCATTTGTCTTCTACTTTGGATTTCAGGCTAGGTCTGTGTATCCTAGCCCGTCCTCTTTTTTTTTTTTTCTTTTTGGGAGAGGGGGGAGGGGGGTTGTTGATAGAAATCCTAGCCTGTCCTATTTCTTTTTGGATAGAAATCCTAGCCTATCGTATGGCCAAGAGTGACTAATTTGTATTCGAGGTCTGTTGCCGCCCTTTTTAATGAACTACTACGGAGTATAAGTTTGTGGGGGACTGCCTCAGATTCCAATTTTCTTCTTTACAGTAATGGGTTATGCAGCTAAAAGCCATCTACTTAATGGTAGGCCAAGCTCCTATTTTTTCCTGCATATTTACACAGATAGATTAGTGAAGAAGCAGCACTGTTCTTAGATTTTGAATTTCTTGTTCATAGAACTTGCTCGTTCAATTCTGTTCTCTTTACTGTTGTAAAGCACAGTCGGCATGAAGTGCTACAAGTCCTTAATACCAGAAATATGGAGGGAGAAAAGATCACTATGATTCGCTCGAATTCCCTGTTTATGGTAGTAAAAGAAAATAGTCGATGGAAATGATTTCATAGCAGCAAAACCACCATGAAAAATCATTACATACGTTCTCATGCATGCAATCTGATTCAGAATAAGGTACAAGAAGTTGCAAAAACTCAATCAAAATTTAAACCTTTCGAAGAAGCCTGACACAGGATAACACTTCAGCATCAGAGAATTCAGTGCATAAACAACTTATCATGTCCAAAAACGGTTACGCGATTGTACCGGATGGAATGAAACGATTGGAAGTACTTCATAGATTTAGGTAAGAAATTGATTGTGATACATTTGCGAGAAACGACAGAGGATCAGAATTCTCACCATCCAAACAGGTCATTACTGCAAAGCGTATAAGCTAGTTAAAGGGAAAATTTTAGGGAGTATGCATTTCCAGAAACCAGGCGTTGGATTTAAAGGCCCGAAGACACAGAACAATTGCACCAATGAAGAAAAAGTACGAGCCGATACCGTTTGTGATTTGTGAATAAGCTTTGGAACTGTCATCCATTTTTCTTCCAACGAGTTGATGCGACGGCCGATCAAACGAGAAGTCTTATGGTGCACCAGGATTGAATGGGTTGACGCCCACAATATTTCCAGCGGGTTCATAGTTACAGACCACGAGGAGTCCTTTTTCTCCGGCGCAATAGACAGCGGAGCTGCACCCAACCCTCTGGGTAGTTTTCCACACGACGTTAAGGTAATGCCCGCACTCGCATTCATCAGTTTCGAACGGACATTTGCACCGATTGGTTGTGTGGTCGAAGAATCGCTGCTCGCTGAACCATTTTTCCACCACGGACGCAGGAGTAAACTCCTTGTACTGCATCCAGAAAATGTTCTCCCCCAGATGGTTCATGGGAGAGGAATGACTCCTGTAGTTGCAGTCGCTCTGGCGCTCCAACGCCCAAAAATGGGCGGCCAACGTGAGGTTAGGATCCCATTGCAGTGGGGGCATTCCCAAAATCCGCCTCAGATCATTGTGAGCGGTGACATATTCTTGCTGCTCCAGGTCGTATGTGGGGATGAAAGGCACCGGCAATGGATGGGTAACGTTTGCCGGGAACGGTCCCGCGTGCCTCTTTCTCAGTTTATGTCTTGGGGTGGAATGAAACACCCGGGCCTGAGCGGCGGAGAGGATGATTCCATGAACCAAGGCTATCAAGAGCAAGGCAGCAAGAATTTTGGGTCTTGACATTTGCAATTGATGATATCTCTAGTTTTATGTCTTGGGGGAAATTTCTTGATTGAGACCCTGATCTTTGTTGCCTTGAGAAATCTCTCAGGCCGTCCCCCGTGACGCGAGAGCAAACGCGAAAACAAGGAGGAATAATTAATCACGGACGAAATAAAACGCTTAGCTGATTTTTTTATTTTTATTTTTATTATTTTTGCCTATAAAAATAGTAGTAACATCATGATTTGAAACGAGGGACACCATCGACCTTGTTGGTGATGGACCAATCTTTTGGTTAGCGTCACATGATAACACAACCCATTATGAGACGTAAAGGCAGTATTATGACCACATTTTGAATTATTATTCGAGGTTTAGGGTACTCAAATGTAATGGAGAGTATATCATATTTTACATTCGGAATGTCGACAGTTGACTTGTTTCCGGTGAGGTTTGCAAATTGAACAGCTTAGAACTGCCTGCCGGAAGGGTCAATGGCCACCCCTCCTTCACGCTTCACTGGTCAACGAGTGTAGCGTAGTTTTAGCTCATCCACCAGGCGCCGGGAGGACGGGAGCAACAGCTTCAAATTGGGCTCTATAGCTTCTCCGGCTGTCGGTAAATACAAAAGGCCCGCAAAAAAAGAATTTATAAGACCCACTGATGATAGCTACAGAGGTTGGGCTAGCACCAGGCCCTGAGTGCGAGGTGGTAATTGGGCCTTCATATCGAAGCTGTGGTTTGGAAAGTCCAAACAGGGTTAAGTGGGTGGGCAAATCCAACAAAATCGCCATGCTCCAACTAACCAACCAACCAACCAACGACCGTTGAATAACCTGCGGGGGCGCGAATCGGTCTCAAGTTCTCTCTCTCCTTCCTCCTCCTCCTCTTCTCGAGTCTTGACTTGATCTCTCATCAACAAGCTTCCAGAAACCTCTGCTCTACGGCGTCGTTGAACTCTTGTCACCTCCGTCTTCGTCACCGGACCGATTAGAAGTAGAAGCGTACTGCTGACGCTGATTTATACCCTTGATATTTTGCTCTTCGGAAATCCTTATCAGGCGATTACAGAAGGACGAAGATAAAATTAGTGAGCAGGAAAGGAGAAATTCTTGCAGATGCATCTTCGATTAAATCGTTTTAGGGCTCATTTCACCGTCGTCCTCCTTTGCTCTATATTTCTTCTGATTTGGTTTCCAGGTATTTTTCTTCACAAGATTCAGCTTTCTAAACTTGCTTAGTCATCAGATTAAAACCTCGGGTTTTTTGCTCTCCGGAAACTGCACCATGAAGCCAGCATGTATCGGGTTCTTTTTTACAGAACCAACTTTATATCGGTTGACGAATCATGAGTGGGTGGTAGAATTCTTATAAAAAATAGTTGATTCTTCTCCCTGTTAATTTGTCAACTAACTACTGACAGAGGTGAGATGCAAATTTGTATATTTATTTACGGCTAGAAGGAATGTTTTTTATTCGTTTTATGCATTAAAAGGTATATACCATGCAATTGCTTTTGGTGCTTCTATTTAAAATCATTTCAAAATTAAGGAATACCTGAAACAACGTGTAATTAAAGTAAAGTTCATGGCCATGCAAAGGAATGATAAAAAGCAGTTCTAGTAAATATTTTGCTGGTTGATGGTCTTAGTTACAAGGTAGGAAAGTGTTCTGTTTTGTGGGATGATGCCATTTGCAGTTTATGGTGGATTACTCAATTTCGTTAATCAACTCTCTTTTTGTTAGTGTTATTACAAGATTTAGAAGAACTCCTCTCTTAATCGGATGTTTTGCTTTATTTTTTTTTTAATATGGTAATTTACATTCATTCCTTGTTTAAGAATGCCTACAGTGTGCTGCTTTCTCTGGCCAGATATGATAGCTTCTGGTCACAGCCAACTTTTTGTCACTGCATAATGTGGTAATGTTTCTACTTTGCAGAGTTTATAGCCGGCGCAGTTGTTACACTTGATTCCATTGAAATATACAAAACCCATGAGTTACTCAAGGAACCTAATGTTTACTTCCAATGTAAGGGAGAGAACAGGACATTTTTGCCTGATGTCAAGAAAAAGAATGTCTTATATTCCTTCAAAGGCGAGGAATCTTGGCAGGTTTGTGATGACTTGAGTTATAATTTTGTAGAACTGATCAAGTTTTGAGGACAACTTTTGGCTCTGAGTTTTGTTGACTTGTTAAGCTCTGAATGAGTAGTTGTGGTTGGCCTAATGTGCCTCAGATTCATAAAATAGCAACATTATTAATATCTGTCCTTGTCCTCCCACTAACTGGATGTAGAAGTCTCTTACGTTTTTAGTGCACCTGCAAAGAGCGCAATTTTTAGTCAAGGAAGACTGTTCCTTTTGTTTTCTACATTTAATTTTTAAGTTATAGATCCTTATATCTGGTAGTAGACCTCCTAAATTTTTGTTTTTCCTTCAATAGTTGACTCATTTACTTTACACCTATTACACGTAGTTTATTGCAATCCCGAAATGGTTCATTTCTTGTCTTGTGATGTTATCAGCCTTTAACAGAACTTACGGAGAAAAAATGCAAGCGGTGTGGGGTTTATGAGCATGACAGCTTTACATCAAATGACGTATTTGATGAATGGGAGTTCTGTGCTTCTGATTTTACAAGATCTGACGGTAAATATGTTCATATGAAAGAGAAGGAATTCAATGCTACTTTCTTGTGCCCAGAATGCGTTCCCCTTGGAAATGGTAAGCATCTTATTTTGTTTCCTCTTCCCTTATTTTCTGCAGTTTCCTAGACTAGTATCTGTGCCGTATTTCTGAAGTTTTTTCAACAGAGATGAATTTGTTTGTTATTTTCTCTGAAAGAGTTCAAATTTTATATGTGCATTTTAAAGTTAGAAGAGACCTTGAAATCTATTCAAGCTCCTCGTCCCGTCATAATGTAGGTTGTGGGAAGGAGAAATTGATATCTTGGACTTGGAGTGGTCATTATGGAATGTTTGTGATAGCCTCTTCATGGAAAAGATATGACTCGTTATGGAGTGAGTTGCAATTTAGTATTTGACTTGTATAGTTAAAGCACTGAGAATAACCGTACTAGTTCTGCAGTATAAATTTAGTATGGAAGGGAATTCCATTAGATGGGTTTCTTGGATTTTGTTATAATCATCTGTGATGGCATTTCATTGCAAGGTAAAGACTGTGTTAGACGTATATGCTGCTCTAGTGAATATTAATTTGAGGATGTAAAATGTGTCTTTCAGGCTGTAGGCTATGTTTTCTCTAAGGAATGCATAATTCGTCGGCATGCTTAGATGCGTTTGAACATAAAAATTTGCCAAAAAATCTGACCATTTCTCATTCAACCTTATGTTTTGGCTGATACTTCGTTCATTGTAACGCTTGTTGTATCAGCTTCAGAACATTCCTCTGCAGCACATAACAGGGAGAAGGGAATGCACTGGGTACTTGTAGTTTTGATCAGTGCTTCAGTTGGAGTGGTAGCGATTCTTGCAATGGTAGCTGCATACAAGTATTGGCAAAAGAGAAGGAAGCAGCAAGAGCAGGCTCGGTTCCTCAAACTGTTTGAGGAGGGCGATGAAATTGAGGATGAATTGGGTATTGGTCCTCTTAGCCATGTAATATAAATAAATATTAAAGGCTAATTATTTTTCCAGTTATCTGTGAAATCATCTTTGTAAATGTATCATTTTGGAGAAATATCATCTTGATTTGTACAGAACTGTTAGCTGCAGGTAAGAAGCTAGTAAGACGGTAGGCGTGTATATTTGTTTCTGAAAATCTGAGTGCATTCAACGGCGGCGGGAATAAAATCAATTTTGGACTACTGATACAGTGTATTCGATATATAAAATCACCTCTTGCTCTCGTCCATTACCACTCTCTGTAAATCAAGTGATTTCCGTTTACGGCTGAGTAAGAATGGAAGACATATACTTCTTGTAAACAGCAGCAGGCGTCAAGCAGAATCTCTCCATATTCTCTTCAGAGAGCAGCAATATATTTATTTTTTACTAGTACATTTCGTCAGAACAACATGCCATTGATGTTCACAAAAATATAGCAGCTGGAGTTGGGAAAGCAACCCCATGAAACCCCCAACATGAAAGACAAACAGTAGATGTCATGTTCAGTGAGCAAAGAACAAGGTAAACAGGAAATTAGTAATGACTTGGCACGGCTGGGCTTTCCCGTTCTGGATGGACGAGGCAAGGCCAATGATCAAAGACACTCTCCCAAAGTTTCGTTTCACTCCAGCAATCATCGTATACAGGTTGAGGGTCTTTCCAGCTATGGTCCTGATAAAATTCACTGATCCCAACAGCTAACCCAAAATCCAAGCTGGGCCATTGATGATCACTAAGAGCCTGCTTCACGTCTTCGTTGGAACTGTGGTAATCGCCATCTTCGTCTCCATCTGTGTATGCGCTGTCTGCTTTCTTCAGGCCGTCCTTGTATGGCTCATAGACTGTATTTTTGTAGTCTTGCAGGGCTACGTCCCAGCATCCAGCAAAATAGTAGGACTCATACTCGTCAAGCCAATCACTCCTGCCTTTGCAAGGCAACTGGATTTGGTCATTGCCCTCATGGTTAGAATACCAGGATCCAGTAAGAAAACCATTCTCGGCTTCCTCGTGTACCGGAAATTTTGATTCATATTCCTGTAGTTGATAGTGAAGAGGCTCTCCATAGGGACCAGCCCTGCTGTCGCTGCTATCCAACCAATTAAGATGATAATACTCACAATTACTGGATTCAGGCTCATCTAGCACATAATCTAAGAAGTGCATCTTCTGTACGTGGAAGATACAATCTCCAAGCAGTTATTAGGGCTGTGCCAGTCCCGCAGACCTTGGTATGGTAGAGGCTGTGCAGTCATTTATAGCATATTCTATCACAAAGGGGTTCGTGCATTAAAAATTTTTTTTAAAAAAAAAAAAATTTCAAGGAAATGATCAGATTCGGTTTCAGTACACAAATGAAGGGTTCTGTTTAAAGTGAAAAGGGCTATGAATATAATCGGTATCTTGAATTGATGGAGAAAGGGACTGAAACGGTGAATGGATAGAAACTGCATCTTATGCTATTCCCTTGTATAAATCTTTGAGCATTCACTGTATTAAAGGTGTTGGTAAAGGCAGCGGTATGAGATTCGTATGGCCGTCCAACAAAGCTCCGAAGCTCTGCGATCAATTTCATTGCCCTTAAAAGGCAACTAACTGATAATGAGTGTTGTTAGCATACATATCAAGATTCCAATCAGCAAGACTAGTAGGGGAGCCTCAATTTCATGTTGGCTTGAAAGTTCTAGTGCTACACATCTGCAGTGAACCACCCAGTATTGTATTATGAGTGCAAAAGTAGTAATTGACTTAAATATCTCCAGAATTTATGCGTTGATAAAAGTTTCAGTAACTTTTCTCTTTTGCACTTTTAGGTTGACAAGATAGAAAGTAGCCAACATCTTCCTTCAAGTGATTTACCTGAAAAAGTTGGGGACTCAAAATTTGTTACCTTTCACATTATTCAACCAAGTGAAATTTCGAAGTCTCTTGTAATGAGTAACAAGTGAAAGTATCTCATGATTTTTTCTAAAAATGTTTCAGTATAGCCAAAGAAGGGATCAACCGATCAAATATCTATCACTGATTAAACAAAAGGTCCGCATGGTACGCGGCCACCCTTGTGCTGCGCAACTTTCATAGCTTTCTTCGTGGGGACACATTTTAATGTATTATTACAAAATTCTTTATGTTCTGGTGAAAATTTCAAATGCTACTTTGCAGATTTCACACTACGGAAAAATTAGTGCGTGTGTGTGTGTGTGTAAAATTTCAATTTTATAATTTAAAAGTTCAAGGTTTAGGGCTAGGAAAAAGCAAGCATGAGGGCAAGCAGATTAGTGGTATTGTCAGATTGAAACCTGACGTGATTATTCATCAAATATGATATTTATAAGATATGGATTAGAAAGGATTCATATCAGAAAACCCTCCATCTGCAACTTCAAAGAGTAATAATCTCATAACTAGACACATGCATGGGATTGATCCTTGCTTCCAGGCATTATCTACACATTGTCTTTCGATTCTTTCCGGCCGGCACTTCTGTTGCTTTTTCCATTTACCATACCTCTAGCCCACTAGCAAGTCGAAACAGTTTCCGCTTATCATGAAGTACAGAGGATGAAAAATTCCACCTCCCATGCGGCATGTCTCTGCCATAACCATCCATAAGTTACGTCTCCATCCTTTCAGAATATCGTCCTTTTGGGCACACTAAACTTTGACCTAGATGGAAATATCATGCCGTACATCTACAAAAAAGGGAACAAGTAATACACTGATCACTGATGGACATGGACTCGTTATATAAGAATGAGCAGTCTGACCTGTTCCCAGCAACACTGAGAAATCATAACTAGACAACATATACTTGAGACTTCAGCACTAAGAACTACCAGAAGCTCTGAAAGGCATCATTTTATGGTACACCACGAATAACCTCTCACAACGGAGAAAGGGTAATCTAAAAAATTCAGGCACACCTAACCAAACTGATCACTATGAGCTCGTCTCCCATATGGCATGTTTGAAATTATTCAGCTCCTCCGACTTTGATCCATATATAGCTTTAATTGTGTCTATGCAGCAACTGAAATCGAGACCAAATTTAAAAAAAAAAAAGGAAGAAGGTTTAACTCTTGCACAATCGTCATTGGACTTGTACATAGCCATAAAAGCAAGAGGAAATGGGATGTCGTTACAAACCTGCAAGCCTCCTTATTGAACTTTTTCTTGTCAATTCCGTATAATGTCTGGAAAATATCAGGCTCCACCCGACAAAAGTAAGGACGGTCTGTAGAAAATAATCAAGACGAGTATTTTGCTGAAAAAGCAGCTAAATCAAATCAAGCCCCTCAAATGAAAAATTCATACAAACCCACCGGCATAAATGGAACACTTTCTTGTAGTCTTCTCGTAATGTATGCACCAGCCATCTGGTCCTATCAAGCTCTTATATTGCTGAAAGACAGCTCATCTAATTAGCCAAATTCATTAATTATAAAAATGGCCAAACTACTTGAGCAAAACATTAATTATATCAAGAGTAGAAAAGAGACCTGAATGTCGGAAGGGTCATCAAAAATCTCCTCAGGGGAGGGGAAAGTCGGACCTTTATTGAGCTTGCAGCAAGCACCGCAATTCTGGATACATTGCCAGAGGGGTTCTCTCTTTTTGTTACCGAACCCGAGCCCGAGACCGAGGTTGCTGCTGTTTGTAGCAGAAATATCAATGGATTCGGCGGGTTTCTGGCCGCGGTTAATGAATTTCTGGGTCTCAGTTTCTGGCTTCAGGCGTGGCTTATTGTCCGCCGACCGGACGGCGTTGAAAGACGGGAGAGCCACCATGCCAGTGCGCGACATGTCTTTGGATGCCACTCCTGCTTTAAATTACCACTTATTATTAGATAACATTAGATACAAATCGACCTTAAAATGATATGAGTGGGCTGCAAAGTTGGCAATGTAATGAGCCCGCGTCATTACATCCTCTTTCTTTGGGCCTGGTTTAGATTGTTAAAGTTCCATCCAAAAAGCTGCACCTTGCGAGGGCCATTCCATTTAGTTCAACAGATTAAGCACAATTATCAAAAAATTGACGAATTAATACCATCTACGCGAACATCTCTATCTTCAACAGATTAAAATGATGCTTTGGCATTCAGCTCGTATCCCTTTTTTTCCCTTCTTTTTTGAATGCTTGTAAGCTTCCTAAGGTTTGATTTTCTCAGACCGTATTGCTGAACAATGCGATGATTGTGAGATTTATTTACGAGAAACTAGCGACATGGAATTTGTCACATAGAGAATGGGAAGGAAAAAATGTTGCAGCGCCAAATGACAGGTATGTAATACTGTAACTTCACTCTACTTCCTTCATTGCTCAATTTACATTTTTCTTCTTCAAATAGTATTATTTCCTCCCTCTAAAGGAGTTGACCACCACATTGATTGTGAGGAGAAAAATTAAGGGTTCAAACTTACCTTCCATCCTCTATATGAAATTTGTTCTAAATTCATACGGATGCGTGGTACATCCATCTAATCTGATGATAATTCAGCCCTCGTTAGACTAGACTATATATGCCGTTATATCAAAAAAAAAAAAATAGTACTAGTCCCTTTCCTTGCATATTTAATCCAAATGACATGAATGTACCTTTACTTTTTCTTTCCTTTACTTTCCACCAGGAGCGCATCTTTCCTTTTCCGTCATTCCAAACGGTGCCCGAATCTAAGCCCAGTTTGTAAAACCCGTACTGGCACATTTAGATTGGTCATTTCACCAGCTTCGAGTTCGACCGCTTCTCCAGTTTCCTTTGACACAGATTCAATCGACGAAGATGATACGAGTTTCCAGAGAACCAGCTTCCCATTTTTTTCCTGTCCTGAACTTCAGAATCGAAATGATTCACGCTGCAGGTCCACGCCACTATTGTTTTTACACAGGTAGTTTGCATAGTCCACCGATTGCAATATTCGTACAGGATCTTCCCGGAAACAACAAATATCTGCTCGCGAGGAATCTGAGGATATCATGCTAACAGAAAGCGAGATAAAACATAAGACCTGCTGCATACCACTGTAAGAGAACAAGGCAGCCCATTTCTAGCAAGTTATTACACTCCACCACTAATACACAACAGTAACATATAATCAAATCCTGCTCCTCAAGCCAAAACCTATGCAATCTACTGTAACATTATGATGCAATATCATAAAAATTCTCAAAACTAGAAAAAAGGCCACAGATCAACCCCACTTGATGCATATTCTTGACCTGAAAACACTCGGTAAGCCAAGTTTTCATGGTGACTCGCTGCCTCTTGGAGTGTTTTGTTCATCATTATCACCAACAGGGCTCCTCTCATCCCTCAGGCTAGGGCTGCGGCTGTGACCATTTGCTTCAACAGGGCTATTATCATACCTCCTATCATAGCCCACAGGGCTTTTGCTCCTTTCAATAGGGCTTTGACTGTTCTCATCTTGCTTGTTCACCAATCTCTCTTTCTCAATAAGAGGACTCTCTCTAGCCCTCATATCGGCTTCATCAGGTGTTAAGCTACGCTTCCTTGATCTGGAAGGAGCCTTCTTAAGATCAGGGCTGCTGTATGGAGATCTAGATCTCCGATCCTCACGCTCAAGAACTCGCCCTCTAACTGGAGGTGATCTTGACCGGCTGGCAATATATACAAAGATTCAATTAGAAACTAATACTTCAGAATGCTAGCAATGTTTGTAACATGCAGAATTAGAAGACAAACAAGCAAGCAATTCAAGGAGGGTGGAAGTCTCAAGGATTTATGAATCAGAAATCACATAAGAGCTGGTCACAAGATGGTTGGTGCTTAAAAGTGGTTAAGCTCGCCTCTCTCGCCTTTCCTGAGCATAGGCCTAAATCAGACAGTGAGCCTAGTGAAAGGTTGATGGAGCACCCAAAGCTTACTAATTTTAATCTTACTGCAATGTATCTGATTCACAAAACTAGTTACAAAATAGTCAGATAAAGCTATTCTATATAACACAGTAGAGTTGACCATGAGTCGAGTCTAAAGTGAGGTACTTGCAACCGAGCTCGTGCTAAAATGTTGACATTTGAATCACATTAACAACATGCTAAGATTAAGCTCATGGCTAACCTGTAGCTGCGACTGCGGCTATAGCTTGGACTGCGACCTTTGCCACGGCGAGGAGTTCGTGATCTCACTGGTGATCTTGAATAACTACGACCACGTCTAAAGCAACATTATTGCATGAGCAACTAGATGAAAAGCAATATAACGACACCAGAAAATTATTGAGAAAATTGGATAGGAGAAAGTCCAAAGAGTGTACACAAGAACACACTATATTGCGGTGATCACAGGGATACTCTCAACACGAAGATACACATGCATGTACTGATATTGCACAAATATTAGGGATTTTAACCCTATGATGCAATAAAACAATAACAATAAGCTCATCTTTTACTTCTTTCCTCTTATAAATGCTACAAGCCAATCAACTTCAACAAAGACAATAAACAAGACTAACAATCTTAATAAATGTCTTCTGATGGCTCTTTATCTAAAACATGCAAAGGACTATGCTAAGCTTGCAGGCACTTGGAAAAAACACCAAATATCTAAAATAGGGAGTGTTTCAAATTCTTCTAGCAAAAAGGAGTTCTGCTTGATCATTGTGAGCAAAACCCAATAAAATCAAAAAACAACTGCTACAAAATAAGACGAGACATATAACTTTTAACGGACATAGCTGTTCAAATACAAGTACCTCAGCTTCTTAGGACTATTCTTGCAGTTTCTTTCTATATGACCTCTTTCCCCACAGCGATAACACTTGTTCTTCCAGTCGCCAGCTTTGCAATCTCTGGCCCAGTGACCATCAAGACCACAATTGAAGCAGCGTCCAGACCCAGGAGGAGGACCTCTGCCAAGATATTCACGAACACCACCAGGACCACGCGGCACCTATTCCCAAGTTGAGCATAACCAGGAAAAGTTTGGTTAGGTTTGTCACACCAGTTTATCATCTAAATAACTGAAAAAACTTCAGAAAGGCCTCCTGGAACTGTATGGCAGGAATTCAATCTAGCAATTGGAGATAATTTGTAGGTATATGACATGGAACCATATCTCTCTAATCTTAATAAAGAAAGGCCCCAAAAAGGTATTTCTTCTTCAGCGACTACTTACTCCTTTTGCAAGTTCGACTATGATACGCCGCCCATCAACTTCTCGACCGTTTAAACTATATATTGCATCATCAGCATCCCTTGGATCACTAAAATCCTATGCAACAAAAATGATGAAACAAAAAAGAAGAGATTTGTGCAATTGGAGAACTTGAGCTTTAAGCAGAAAAGCAAATATCTTCATATGTATATAAGTAACAACAAAAAATGGAAGAAGCATACCACAAAAGCAAAGTCTTGCTTCATATCCACGTCTCGTACTCTGCGGAAATTGTTGCCAGAAACAGTAAGGCCATCATTACTTACTTAAGTACTGGAAGTGCATGAAACTTGTCCTTCAAGACGAACTAAACACCATTTTGAGATTGTTGCCAATGCCATAAAAATACGCAAAGACACAACAGAAAGAATCTCCAAAGTCTCCTAACACTCGGCAAGAATTTCCACCAAGGCCACCCACTCACCATTTGACCTTCAGGCCAGGCAAAAGTCGAGTAACCTTCAACAAGATCATTCAAGTTAATCTCAAACGCACCTGGGGATGCAAGGTTCCTTCATAGATAATATGATGTATGAGATACCAAGCAACACAGATGCTTGGGAAGTAACCGAATCTCCCATATGCAAATGGAGGACTTAATCCCACAAGCTAGATTAACTAACCACTGGTCTGATCACATTTGTGCATTTCCGGAAAATTTAAAGGTAAAAATGTCTAAGTGAACAGGTTTTGAAAATCTGAAAAGAAAAAGAAAAAGAAGAAAAAAAGAAGAGGAACTTAATTCGACCATCAACTAAAAATTTCACTGCAAAGGTCCCAGCCTCAGGGTAATCTGTGTCCAGGATGTGAAATTCTTTACGAAACCCCAAGATTTCGATCTTCAGGTTTCAACTCCGCATCTATTGAAGTTCAGAGTTTTCAACAACAATTGAACTTCAAACTTTAACAGGAAAAGCACGGAATTCGAGTTTCTGTTATCTATTATTATTAACTTTTCAATATTAAATTTCAATGGAAAGTTAATATTGTTGGTGGCATTTGTGGTTATCGTCCAAGTACACTGATAAAACATTGAGCTTGCTAGACAGACAGATATAATCCTACATAACAGCCAAGTATGCAATCACTTACTCAGAAGCATCATTTGGCACAACAATTAGCAAGAAGCAACACCTTTAACCGTAGGAAGGCAAGTTAAACTACACATGAAAATACATATACATATATACCTCCCATATCTGCTGAAGAGATGCTCCAAGTCTCGAGAACGAGTCCTTGAAGACAGGTGACCGACATAGAGACGAGTGGTATTCCCATATCGATCATCGTAACGAGGCATTTTCAACTGCACTTTCAGGGGAAAAAATGAAATTATTTGGTAACTTCAAAAGAAAAGGAATAAGTAACTAGAAAACTAATACCATGACAGTCAGCTCACAACCAAGACTAGTGAGCGAATACCACGCAACAGTTATAAGCTAAGCAGTGCCAAAAGTCTGGTTTAGTACCTCAGTAGTTCGTATTGGGGATACCACAATGCTTATTACATCCCAATATTATCTTTGGCAGATATAATGATGGTAGAAATCAAAAAGAGATGGAACCAAAGCAATAATAAGAAGAGACAAGTGCAACGAAGATATTTATCACCAGGGAAAACATCCAATTCTGTTCTGAGTACTGGTAATTCACTAATCATAGCTATAAAACCAACCAAAAAAGAACATGGAAGGCCAGTCCTCAACCAATTTCGTCCCCCATTCTACCTGATGGACAAGGCCACCAAAATATGCATAAACCCCTTAAATTTGCTAGTC